TTTTTTTTTTGGTGTTTTTTTTTTTCCTGCCTTTGTGATTCACGAGGAGGACGGTAACCGTGCACCCGGGGTCACCTTTCCAACCCTTCGTAGTGTCCCGGCGTAACGTGGAGCTCACGCCGGCGTGGCTGCCGTCTCCCGAGAGCTTCACAGGTTCCGAATCCCGGCCCGGCTCCGTCCCGCGGTCGGAGCGCAGCGCAGCGCATCGCGCATCCCCCGGCCGGGTGCCGTCTCTCCCGCGTTGCCATGGCGCTGTTGCCATGGTGACGTTGCCATGGTGACGTTGCCAGGGCAGCCGCCTCCCGACTCCGTGCATCCGCCGGGCCGGCCGTGAGCTGCGGGAGGGGAACGGAGGGAGGTGCGGCCACTCCGAGCCTCTTGGGCTTCATCCGAGTGTGGGTTCCCACCTCGAAACCCGCCCTGAGGCTCTGATCAGCCCCCAGCCCCCATCGGAGCGTGCTGGCTGTAGGATCCTTTCCATCCTCCCATCTCTTCACCCCATCCCCATGCGCACCAGGCTCGGGCTCTGCCCCTTTTCTGTCTCTCAGGGTGATGGAGAGGAGCCCCGGGTTGGGTGCGTGGGGTCTGGTGCTGATATGGTGCAGTGAGGGGCATCCAGCCTGTTTTGTGTCTTTCCCTGGGCCAGGAAGATTTCTGGCTTTCACCCCGGGAATGTAGAAACTTTAGCAAAATAATGGAAAATAAAGAGGATGGAGGAAGAAAAGCAGAACAGAACGTTTCAGGAACGCTGAAAAAGCTTGGATCAGTTGAACAGTGCGAGATCCAGGAGAGAAAGAGGCTTCATTCCAAAGCCCTCTGAGTCTGGGATGTGAAAAGCTGGGCTCAGAAGGCACCCCTGGCCCTGGAACAGGTGGATGCCCTGGTATGGGGCACCCAGAGGCCATGGGCTGCTGCCAGTGTTGTCCCACAGCCCCCACAGTGTGGGGAAGGGCGATGGGGAGCCGGCGATTTCCTCCCTGCAACCTCTGTCTGCACGGAGCCATCCCAGCTGCCTGAGCCCAGGGGTTACTTGAAGTCCTGGATCTCATTCTTGGAGGGGGAAGGGGAATGTTTCACCTCCTGGGCTGCTGCCTGTGGCAGGGTTAGAGCTGTGACGTGGGTGTTACAGGGCCTGGGGATTGCTGCTGCCTGCCTGCTCCACAGCCCCGACATCTCCCTGCTCAGGGCGTCTTGTTTTGTCATCAGTTCGTCACAACTCCATCTCCAAGTTTTGCAATTTGAAACCAATGCTGTTGTCCTGCTGGCTTGGTGCAGGTGCAGGGCAGAGCCAGTGCAGCCCGGGTGAGGAGCAGCACATGGAGCACGGATGGGGCTCACAGATGTTCCAGTGGGCGCAGCGTTGGGATGGCAGTGGGGCTGCTGATGGCACGTGTGCTCCAAGCATCACAGCCTCACCTCAAACTGCCCCAGAATAACTGCTATAAAACGCAGCACCTTTTCCCATCGTGTTTGTTTGCTCTCAGTTTCGTTCTCTGCCAAGAACTCTGCATGCACAGCACACGTGGGCAGCCCCGGTGCCGGGCTGGAGCTGAGCCATGAGCATAGAGGTGGTGGTGGTGGGTGGAGGTGACCGTGGGGTGTCACGCTTCCCACTTTTCCATCAGGAAACATCCCTGTTGTTTTTGTGGGGCTTTCTGGAAAGCAGCAATTGTTTGCATGCTGCGAAAATGTTTTGCTTGGGGTTGGGAAGGAGGGAAACAACCTCAGCACGGCACCACCCGAGGGGGGGGGTTGGAGAGGGATGCGTTGATGGTTACCGGGGGGTGCCCTGGGCTCTGGGTGCTGTGCTGGGCCCCTCTGAGCTCACAGCCTGAGCTGCTGGTGCTGGCTCCTCACCACACACCCTGCTGTGTGCTGTAGACACAGTGCTGCCATCCCTCCCTGTCCCCATTTACCCCAGTTGAACTGGGAATGCTTCAGGTCATCAAAGCCGGCAGCCCTGAGCTGCAGCCGCCGTAGGGCAGGGTTGTCTGCTTTGCCTTTAATTGAAGCATTGCAAAGCCTTTGGGCCCAGCTGGGTGTGTGTGCAGGACAGGACCTGCAGGCAGTGTGTCCTGCTGTCCTCCCAGCCTCGGTCACCTGGCTCCAATGCTCTCAGCCAGGGCAGAAATTCCTGGGAGGTGCGAAAATGGATCCGCGCTTTATCACCGCTGGTGGAAATTAAACCAAGAGCTCTCCCTGCCACCTCCTTCTGCTCAGCTTCATCTGCTGGAGCAGCTTCAGGGGTTGGGGCTGGAGCTCCTTGCTGGGTCGTGCAGCCTCTGCGACTGTGGTGCCCACACTCCACGTGCTCAGGGGCCCCAGAGCTCACCCCGCTTTCTCCAAAACCCCATTCTATGCACCCAGGCTCTGGGAAATGAATGGCAACCAGCCATCGCCTCACAGCACCTCTGAGCCTCCTGCCCCAATTACCGCCGCGGCTAATTGCTTCGTTAGCATCACCTGGCACTCAGCCAGCCTGCTCCCCTCCCATCAAAGCCTCCCCCACGTCCCCCCCCAGGCAGGTGCCTGCAGTTGCAGCTGGTGCTGGGCAGCACAGCTGGGCCACGCGTGCGTGATCTGTGCGTCTGTGTGTGCAAACGTCTGTGCGCGCAGCCTGGAAAGGTCGCCGTGCAGGAAAGGTGTCAGCAGCCAAGGAATAGGCTTGAAATGGAAAGTGTGAGCCAGAATAGTGGAAGCAGCCAGAAGCAGTGCTCCTCTCCAACCCTTCTGTCGTGGGCTGTCAGCAGCGCTTGGCCCCAGAGGAAAAAGGAGCACAAAGAGGATCGGGGTGCCAGGAGGAGATGCATTGGGGCAGCGCTCGGCTTCAGCGCAGCAGAGGGAAGGGGAGGAAGCAGAAGGGAAGAGCCTGGCCTTTGTCTGTACGCGCTGTCTGGCTCCACAATGTCCCCATTCACACGGCTGCACTCCCCACATCTCTCTGTGTGGGCGACTGCTCTTCACAGCTTCTCTCTGCTCTCTTGCAGGGCTGTGGAGGCCAACACGCTTCAGCAGGAGAGGCTGCAGGCCATCGCGGTGAGTCCCCTCCGGGTGAGAGGGTGGCACCAACACAGCGACGCCTGCGATGCCCTCAGCCCAATGGCAGCTCCTCCAGGGCTCCATTCTGCACCCAGGGACCGAGGGCACAACTGGCAGCCGGGTTAATTAATGAAGCGGTGCCTTAATGAGCCCTGAGCAGGAAGGAAATGAGCGTGAGGGTCTCCCATGCCCTCTCCCAAGGGCTGAGTGATGTGTGTGAGGCAGCTCTGCAGGGGATGGGTGCTCTGCAGCAGCTCCCCTGCTGCCCCATAGCAGCTCCCTTGCTCTCTATAGCAGCTCCCCTGCTGCCCCATAGCAGCTCCCTTGCTCTCTATAGCAGCTCCCCTGCTGCCCCATAGCAGCTCCCTTGCTCTCTATAGCAGCTCCCCTGCTGCCAGCTCCCAGCCCCACGCGCTATCGGCCGATCTGTGCCTCACAAAGGGCAAATTGTTCTGGGCCAGAAGAGAAAAAGAGCGGGTGACGCTTCCCTGGACTGGGACAGACTCTGCTAAAGCAATCTGGACCGAAACCAGGATGTGCAGCAGGGGGGGGGGGGGGGGTCGGGGAAGGGACTGCCTAGGGCTGTTTTCCCCTCACTGCCCGGCTCACACTTAGCAGGGCCAGCCTGGGGGAAGGTGACATTTAGAGGCAGGGGACAGCCCGTGCTCTGCACCCTCTCTGCTCCCAGAGCTGCTGGAATGGAGGTTTCCCCCCAGCAGTTTCCAGTGCTGCCCCATCCCTGCACTGACCCCGGCTCTGTGTCCATCCAGGAGAAGCGAAAACGTCAGACAGAGATTGAGAACAAAAGGAGGCAGCTGGAAGATGACCGGCGGCAGCTGCAGCATCTCAAGGTGAGAATGACCCCCCCCAGGGATCCCAGTGTGTTACAGGGATGCCTCAGGACCCCCAAAAAGGAGGGTGGTGAGACTGTGACCCTCTGTGCTCCCCCAGTCCAAGGCTCTGCGGGAGAGATGGCTGCTGGAGGGAGCCCTGTCCTCTGCCTCCGAGGAGGATGAGGCGATGAAGAAGCAGATGCAGGAGGATGAGGTGAAGACCAAGGAGCTGGAGGAAACCATCCAGAGGTAAAACAGGCTTTGTGCTGCCCAGCAGCACTGCAGGGCTGGCTCAGGCACGAAGGGGCCTTTGTTTTGGTGTAATGGTGCAGTGCATTCCTGTGGGCTCCGAGGGAAAAGAGCATTTTGCGAGGTGATGTGAAGCAAAGGGAGGGAACAGCGTGGACAGAGGTGCACTGATTCACATGGGCTTCAAGCTGCAGAGTCCCTGCTGTGTCCCTGTGGGGCCACGTGGCTCTTGGTTGGGCTCGATGGTCAGGAATGGACTCTTGTTTTTCCTGGGAAATTTGCACATTAATGAATCTGGGCACAAAACCTGAGTGAAGTAACATTACCCCTTGCCACCAGTTGTTGGCACTGTGTGTAATGGGTTGGGCTTCGTCACTACGTGGGATTGGCCACAGCAAAGTCAGGTCCTACAGATGCAGGTCTGGTCCAGAGCTGTTCCAACAAGTGCACATTGTGCCCCTGGAAAGAGATGCTGAAGGCTGTGATGGGGTTGTGTCCAGCTGAAGGGCTGCTGTGCAGCAAGGGCTGCATTGCCTACATGGAAACAGGGACATGGAGAGAGAAAGCAGAGAGCCTGATGGGGCACAGAGTTGTCTTGTGCCTTCCCTACAATCGCTGCCAGCACTGATTCTGGTCCCCAGTTTGGAGCTGGGCAGGACTGATCTCCCTGCAGAGCCCCTGCACAGCCACACTGGCAGGGCTGCAGCAGATGGAGGGTTTATGTGCAGGGTGGACACTTGGCTGGGTTTGGTTTTGTTTTCGAGGTGGCAGCAGGTCTGGTTGTTTTGGCACAGGTTGGTGAGAGGGGTGAATCCCATGAGGTTCAGAGCCCAGGGTGGGAGATGGAGCTGGAATCCTCATCCTGACAGCACTGTGCTGAGCTGTTCCAAGGCTCTGTGTGTTCTCAGTAACACAACCCCAGAGCTGGGGACTGCAGCTGAGCCCTGCAGGTCTGCTGTGGTCCCAGCACAGCCTCACATCCCCCGGTTTTCCCCCAGGCTGGAGAGGGAGTTGGAGTCACTGGAGAACAGCAGCTCTGCTACATCCACCAAGGAGAACCTGGCTGAAGTGGTGGCACCAACAAAGGAGGAGAAGGCAGAGAACATCCCCAGCGTGCAGAAGGTGGGCACAGCTGCTCCCCTGCAGGATCTGGATGGGAGGGGGTGAAGCAGGGCAGGGTTTGGGGCTGGGTGTGCAGAACGGTGAATGCGTGGTGCATCCACAGCTCGTGTCATCTCTCTTCTGTTTTGCAGAGTCCCCTGGGCACAGCCATAGGTAGGTGACCCTGGATGCTGAATTGGTGGCTTTTTCCTCTCCTGGGGCAGCAGGACCCTTGTGCTGGGTTGGGAGTGGGCACCAGCAGGCCAGGGCAGGGGAGCAGGGCGGCCTCATCCCCACATCCCCATTCCAATGTCCCCATCTCAATCCATCCCCACATCTCCATCCCCACATCTCCATCTCCCCATGATGTCTTGTGGCTGGGGAACCCCATCCAGGTGGTCACCATGGAAGAGGCCCCATCCACCCCAGTGCCCATCCCAGGGTGCATGGAGCACATGGATAGCTGGGCATCATTTCACCTAAGTCTGCCACTTCTCCTCTCCATCCCCAGCTGAGAAGAAGGTCTCCAGCAGCCCCATGAAGGCGGTGCAAGGCGCTGACATGATGAAGGCAGGTACGTGCCCACTTCCACGTGAGGACTGCTCCCTCCTCCCGCCCTGCAGCACCTCTCAGCTCTCTGCCTTCCATGCACAGCCCACCCTCTGCCACCAACGATCCCCACCGCTCAATGAGTTTCCGAGCCTGGGGCAGAGGATGTCATTTATTTGCCATCAGATGGTTCATTTTTGCTGGAAGCCTGCGGCTGGTTCGCTGATCGGGGTCCCCACTCTTCTCCCTCTGTTCCATGTCACTGCTCTGGTTTAATCCTTTCCTCCTGCTCTGTTTGCTGCTTCTCGGTGCGAGGGAGCAGAGCGATGTGGGGCCAGGGCTGGGGGGGCTGCCTGAGCTTGGCAATGGAAGCAGTTGGGGCCACAGGGCTGCAGCCAGCTCTGCTCCTGGAGCGATTTGCTCAGATCTGCCGATGGCTCAGATGAGAAATAATTCAGCTTTGGATCTTTGGAACAAAGCATCACCGGGACGAGGTGACAGTGGGGACAGGCAGGATGCCCAGGAACGGCCATCCCATGAAGCGCAGTGCTCAAACCTCAGTGCTGCATCCCACCAGCACAAGCCTGGCTCCATACTCAGGCTGGACAGACAGACGGATACGGTGGCCACCTGCCTTAATGCCCCCTGGAGCAAAGGTGGGTGCCAGCCTGGGGAAGGCAGCACCTGTGGAGGTAAGGGGATGCCAGCAGCTCCAGAACAGTGATGGCCTCGTGGGTCCCCATAGGAGGGCCATACCTGGGATGTCACATCTGCCTCTGCCTTCACTCCTCCTCGCTGCAGCCTGCTGCCTTGCTACCTCTGCTGAGCACTGCACCGCACCGCTGTGCCCACCCGCTGCTGCTCGGGAGCTCTGGGGCTGTAATGCTCACTGTGCTCTTTGTGTCCCAGCCATGTACTCAGTGGAGATCACGGTGGAGAAGGACAGAGTGACTGGGGAGACCAAAGTCCTGTCCAGCACCACGCTTCTCCCCCAGAACCACTGTGTGCAAGGGATCAAAGTATACGAGGATGAGCTAAAAGGTACGGCCCCGTCCTGCACCTCCAGCAGGATTCAGGAGCAGAGGGAAGGGGATGAGGGACCAGCTGCCGAGCATCCCAATGGGCAGCAGGGTGAGGAAGGGCTGGAGCAGCTCCTGCTGTCCTTGCTGGCTCTGTGGGGCAACATCCTGTGCCCCATCCCACGTGGTGTGGAGCCATCCGTCCCAGGGGCAGCACATCGGTCTGTGCTGCTGGAGAGCAGAGGATTCATCGCATCTGAAGGCCCAGGAGTGCATTCCAGCAGCAAGGGAAGGGGCATCAGCACTGTGTTATCCTGCTGTCATGGGCACCTCTGTCTGGGGAAGGGGACAGGGCTGAGCTGTTGGGGCTCCCCGTGGCCCCACGGTGCTCAGGTTGGCAGCAGGGAACCTGTCCCCAGGGTGAGGAGAAGACGCAGCTTTAGGGGAGAGAACACAGCTTTAGGGAGCGGTGCCTGCTCTGGGGAACCTGCTCAGATGGGGCTGGTGGAACCAAGGGGCAGCTGTGTCAGCAGTGAGGACCAACGTCAGAGCTGAGGAACGTGTCCAGGTGCTGTGCAAACCCTGGGATCCATGGACTGAGTGCATCCCCAAGTGAGTGGCAAAGCACCACAGCCAGCCCTGCTCCGCAGCGCCTGATGCACCTCCATCACCTTCATCACCTGTATCAGCAAAGTGAGACCCTGCACTGCCCGGGGTCCCAGCATCCCCCAATCCCAGGGATCAACTCAGCATTGAGCAGCCTCGGAGGGCAGCCCCAGCTGTGCCACATCCTCCTGGTTATTATCTACTGCTCCACCGAGTGGGTTCTGCAGCTACTGCACTGCTCATCACATGATGCTCCATGTCAAGTGGAAAACGTGACGGGCTGGGTGCATCCCTCACCGTGGCCTCGTAGCGCTGTGAGCACCCAGCAGCACAGGACTCTGTCCCCCCATGGGCACTGGGATGCACTGCAGCCAGGTGCTCAGCTGGGGGTTGGCAGTGGTGGTGGTGGTGATGTGCTGCAGGGCGCTGCCACAGCCTTTACGCTGCAGCACCGCTGGGTTTTGAAGCTCCACAGGCACTGAGGGCTGGGAGCAGCTCCTCAGGCAGTGCTGAGGCATCGGGCAGAGGCTGGGGGTGGTGGGGGGAAGCCCCAAGCGCCCCTCCTGCTGTCCCCCCCTCACCATCCTTCTCTTGTCCCCGCAGTGGTGCACGCGGTGAGTGCTGAGGACGGAGCTCTGCAGAACGGGGCGCAGCCTCTCAGCTCCTCCGAGGTGGATGAACTTCTGCACAAGGCAGATGAGGTGACCCTGGGTGAGGCCACGGCGAGCGGGGAGGCTCCAGGCAGTGCCACATCCAGCCAGAAGGCAACGCCACGGAGGGAGATCACGGGGCTGCAGGCGAAGCCGAGGGAAAACTCCACAGAAGGAGCGGAGCCGAGCCGGGAACAGCCAGTCACCATGATCTTCATGGGCTACCAGAACGTGGAGGATGAGAACGAGACCAAGAAAGTGCTGGGGTTGGAGGGTACCATCAAAGCCGAGCTGGTGGTGATCGAGGACGCCGAGAGCAAGCCAGAGCCGGAGAGCAAGGACCACGCACCGCCCAACGGCACCGCGCTGGAGCCGGCGGCCGCCCCGCTGCAGGGGGACGAAGTGCCAGGCGGGCAGAAACCGGACACCAACGCCACGGAAGCCAAGGAGGCTGAGCCAGACATGGACGCGAAGAAGCAGCGCTGCAAATGCTGCACGGTGATGTGAACCCCCCCCCCCCCCCGCCGAGCCCCCCCCAGCCCGCTCCCCGCAGGACACAGGGTTACTGACCGGACACGGCGCCCTTCTTGTTTTTCATAAGAACTGGGGAAATCCAACGCGGTGTTTGGAAAGCGTTCACCAAACGGCAGCGCATCGAGGGCCACGGCTCCGCTCCGCCTGCCCAACACCCACTCCATGCACATCCCTCCAGTGCTGCGTGTGATATTTATTAGAGACCCCCTCCTTCCCCTTCCCCACACCCCGCCGCCCCCTTCCCCACAGCCCTGCCTACCCTGGGCGCTCTCCTGCTGGGACGCCCGGGAGCCTTTCCTCCTTCCTCCAACTATTTCCCATCCACCATCGGAAGACGGCGGCAGCCAGGAGGGCCCGTGCCCACCCAGCCCTGCGTGGCAGCTCTCATCACTTCTGGCACCTCGTTTCTTCAGCCCAGCTCTATGCTGTTGTCTGTGCTGTGATGCTGGGCCAAGGACCGGGCACGGCTGCCCCGGCTCTGGCACCAGCCTGGACCCAGCTGTGCTCTCCTGAAGATCCCTGCCCCGGTCACACAGACACCACCAGGTACCGATGTCACCGCTGCCGCTGCTCCACGGCCGTTCCTCCATCTCAGTGTTGGATGCTCAGCTGTGTCTGGGTGCCCACTGCCCACCAGAGGCACAGGGTTGGCAGCGAGAAGTGGGGCAGCTGCAGATCCCAGCCCACGGGGATGGGATGGGAGCTGGAATTTGCCCACAGCGCTCGACAGCAGTGGGACGTGGCTCAGCACCATGTGCCCTCTTGCCATGGCTGAAGCTGCCCTGGCAGCTTTGCAGAGCTCATTTTTCTAGCACTTCTGTCAGATCCCCAGCCCAGCTCGCCCTGGGCTTTTTGTGGTGCCCCCAGGTGCTGCCTCTGTGCCGGTGGTGCAGTGAAGGATGGGGTCACAGCTCCGTGGCAGCTGCCTTGCTCCCTGCCCTGCGCCCCAGCCGCCAGCGGGGATCTCACTACCAGCACCAGCGTTTCCTCCCCACTGTGACCTGCTGGGGCAGGAGGAATTGGGGGGGGGGGTCTCTGTGGGTGCTGAGCCTTGTCCTTGGGTGCTGCCCTCAGCCTCCCCAGGACAGCCCCATTGCCTGCCCTAGGATGAGGTGCTTGCTGCATCCCATGCTCCACCAGCTATTGACGGGCACAAGGCTGTGCTCTGAGCTGTCCCCACATCCCTGAGTTCTGGCCAAAAGCCTCTGGGAGAGGTGGAACCCCATGGGGTCAAGAGCAGAGCCTCTGCAGCCTGCTGTGGGAGCCACCAGCAGGGACACAGCCCTGCAGTTCCAGCACTTAGGCATGGGGTGCTGGGGAGATCTGCCCCACTCATCCCTGGGGATCCAGGCCCCCAGTGGGGCTGCATGTCACCTCCTTCCACCCCTTCCCTGGGTGCTGACCCCAACTTAGGGCCTCCTCCCACCCTCAGCACCTCCTCAGTCCCCCTTGGGCCCAGCACCGACCCCAGGCAGGAGCAGAACCGGGCCCTGCAGGGCTGGGGCTGGGAGGCAGCAGCAGTGAGGACCCGGCCGTGCCCCAGCCCCAGCCTGCAGAGCCTCACACCATCCCCCCCTCCCCCCAGCTCAGCTGAAGTGCACTTCCTGCGCTCCCGTGCTTTTTACCTGTGATGAAGCCGTTTGAAGTTTCCCTTCCTCCCCACCCCCCACCCCCCCGTTGTTTGTAAGACACCTGAACCAAGCAAATAAACTGTGTGAATAACCAGCCCGCTGTCTCTGCCTCTGACTGGGGAGCAAGCTGACCGGAGCACCTCCAGCTGTGCTCAGCATCTGGGCGTGGGGGGGTTGAAGGGGCTGGGCTGGGGGTTGGGATGCTGGGGATGATGGGGGTGGGATGTGCCATTCCCACAAAGTGCCACGGATTAGATCCATCAGCAGGCTATGCAGCACGTCTGGCCCTGCCTCCCCACTCCCCCTGCGCAGCGCTTCCCTCAGCTCAGCACGCTGCAGGCTCAGTGAAGCTGTGTTGGGTGGTCAGAGCTGTGAGCAGGGCTGTGGGACATCCCTACTTGTCCTCACACTGACATCAAATGCCCCATGCACCCAAAGTGCAGGGGCTGAGCCTGCCTGGGGTGGAGGCAGAGCTGCAGTCAGCCGGGCTGCTGCAGAATGCAACCCCTTGCTCCCTCCCCTCCTGTCAGCTGGGCACAGAGCCTTCACTCCCTGCATCCCCTGCCTCTGCCACGGAGGTGGCTGTTCCCAGAACCACAGCAGCACGGAGGAGTGGAGGTGTTTAAGTACTCCTCACCATGGCAGGTCCTCTGTGCCACTCTGGAGCCCAGGGTGGAGGTGAGGGTAGGCGCTCTGTTTGTCCTTTCTCCATTCCCAACCAGCTGCCAGGGGGAGTGGGGAGGAAGAGGAGGATGGACGGGCTGTGGAATGCTGGGAGGGGAGCGATGCTGGAGTGATGCTGCGTGCACAGTGATGGGGATGTGGCAGTCGGGGACCTGTTATCCCAAGGGGGCAGTGCTGGGGTACGGACCTCAGGGGATCACCAATGTGTGGCTACACCTCTCCGCCCATCTCTGCACTGGTGGGGGTCCCACGGACCTCACTCCACCCAGGGGGCAGCACTGGCATCAGATCATGCCTGGGATCCCAGGGCATATTTGGAACCCGTGCCCAGCTGAACCCGCTGGCAGAGCTGCCCCAGGGCTGTGCACACACGGCTGTGCCCACTGCAGGGTGTGGTGCTCCGCGGCCGCTGGCGTGGACTTTGTCTCAGCCCCACAGTAAAACAGGCATTGCTTTCCCTCCCGGAAACACAGAGCTGCAGGTCGCCGTGCCACCGACACCGTCTGTGTGGTAAGGGGGTGCTGGGCTGCTCCCATGGGAGCTGTGGGGTGGTATGGGGCTGGATGGGGTAAATGGGATTTCCGAGTGCTCCACAGCCAGGACCAGTAGGGTATGGCACTGCTGCTCCTCTTGGGCCCAAGGCAGCAGGCAGGGAGGGATGGGCTGTGTGGGATGGGTGGGATCTGTTCGGTGAGAATAAGGCTGGGGCAGTCAGGATGGGGATGTCCTGCCCCAAAGAGAAGGGCAGAGCATGGAGTGGGCACTACCCAGGGTCAGCCATGATGCCTGGCGCAAGGCTGGGTGCTGGTGCTGGGAGCTGGGCTCAGGACAGAGCTGATGGTGACAGTGCTGCCCTGCTGGGCCCCAGGGCACTGAGATCACCACAGCCACTGCACTGCAATCCCATCCTCAGCCTTTGGATGCGAAGGCCCCGTGTTCCTGTATTCACACAGGGCGGCTCCCTGCTGGCAGGGGATGTGGTTCCCAGGAAAGAAGAGGGATGGGGGGGGGCTGATGATAGGACCAGGAGCACCGAGGCTGGCATTCGAGGCTGCCATGCCAATGCCAGTGCCTGCCCAGCCCCACCTGTGCAAACATGGGGTTATCAGGCAGCTGGCATGGTGAGCACCGAGCTAGGAGAGGCCCCAGGGTGTAAACAGGAGAGTGAGAGCTGCCTGTGTGTTTGCTCAGCCTGTGGGCTGCTCAGGGGGCCAAGCTGCTGCAGTTCCAGCCCTGCGTGGCTCAGAGCATCAAGATGTTGGTGGCACAGCAGCCGCGTCCCCATGCCACCACCCTGCCTCAGGGCAGCAGCTCAAGATTCACCTGAGCCAACCACAGAGCCAGGGCGCATGGCTGGAGCGGAGGAGCTGTAACTCCACCTCTTGTTGGGGCTTTTGTAGCTGCAGGAAGGCAGATGGTGCCTGGAGGAAGGGGTGCAGGAGCATCAGCCCTGCATTGGTGCAGCAGCGCGTGGCCGGTGAATGAATGCACACTGCTGCATTGGTGCATCAGCGGTCAGTGCTGTGATCCAAGCGGCTCTGCAGGCGTGGGAGCTTTGGCACAGGGCTGTGGGTGGCGTGGGGGGTTGGGAACAGGAGACTGAACAGGGGCCAGCGATGAGCCCAGCTGAATTCTTGGAATTCCTCCACCGGGGCTGGCTGAGCTTATCAGGGCCACGCAGCACCCGCACCACTGAGCCACTCCCCAGAGCACACAGCCCAGCTGGGCACCCTCCACAGCCAGCCCAGGGCATGGGACCCCCACACCAATGGCTCCAGGACTGTAAGTGCAGCGCGGCGGGGCAGGAGGGAGGGCTGAGGGCAGGGGTGGGCACAGGAGGTGTGTGTGCACCCCAACCCTACGTGTGGTGCAGGTGCAGGGCTGACTGCGGCACCCCAGTTTGCACCCCAGTGTGTCTCAGCACAGCAGCAGGGCTGGGAGCAGGAGTGTCCATATGCATGGGATGCGTGGATGTTTTGGTATGATGCATGCCAGGGTCAGGCCAGCTGGGCGTTACTGTGTTACCCAGTGAGGACTTTCGCCCCTTCCTGACGTGATAAGTTGTGGGCAGGAAATGAGTTTTCATTACCTGGTTCACCACGGGCTGTAAAACAGCAATAACGAATTACAGGCAGGGAATTAACGAGGTTACAGGAATTTAGCTGAGGCACAGAGCAGCCAGGAGAGACCCTTCCCAACAGAGCCGGGTTTGCGCTGCACCTCTGATGCCCCAACTGCTCCTATTGGCATCAGTGCTGCCCATCCCCAGGTTGTGCCCATCCTGAAAGGGGCAGAAATACCCCAGCAGGGCAGGGCGGTGGAATGCAGCACCTTGCAGCACTGCACTGCAAAGGCATGCAGCGAGCAGAGGGCACGAGGTGCTGCTCACCCAGCTCCTGCTGGGTTTCTGTGTCCCCCAGCACAGGGCTGGGCAGGCACTGCATACTGCATGGCATGCTGCATTGTGTGCTGCATTGCATGCTGCAGGGCTGGGACCCATCTGTGCCACCCTGCCCTGCCCTGGCAGCTGCTTTCTCATCCGGTCTCGGAGCAGTCAGTGGCAGCAAGACCAGTGCCAAGGTCAGGGTAGATGTTTACTCCTTTGTGTGACACATGGGTTAAAGTCTCCTACTTTTATGAGCCCCGAAACCATTTTTGTTATCTTTACTGTTTCAATGA